TATTTTTTTTTTTCAAAGTTCTGGGGATGGGGGATGGGGATATAGCTCAGTGTCATAAGCACCTGCCCGGCAAGCACAAGGTCCTGAGTTCGATCTCAGGTACCACACAAAAAAAACCCAAAACAACAACAAAAAACCAAAGTTCTGGGGATGAAACCCAGGGCCTTCACACTGAGTCAGAACCCCAGCCCTTTTTATTTTTTATTCTGAGACAGGGTTTTGCTAAGTAGCAAGTTACCCTGGCTGGGCTGGAACCTGTGATCCTCCTGCCTCAGCCTCCCAGAGTGCTGGGATGTCAGGCGTGTCCCAACAAGCCCAGATTCCAGATAGTATTAACTGGAAGTGGTGACAGTGGACATCCCTGTCCTTTTAAGGGGAAAGAATCCAGTCTGGTGCCCTCAAGTCCGCAGCTGGCAGCTGAGGTTTTCGTAGGCGTCCTTCATCGGGCTGAGAAAATGCCTCTGTGTCACTGGCTCTCTGGGGCTTTATTGTCTGTTTTGTTTTTGGGGTGCTGGGGATGGAGCCTGGCCCTCCACATGCTAGGTGAGTGCTCACCACAGAGCTGCCCCCCAGCCCCAGCCCAGGGGCGGATTTCTGCTGCTGGCAGTGTCCTCTTGGCTGCCTTTCTTCCAGGCCCCAAGGCCAGGGGAGCCAGTTAGGGACCAGAGTGAAAGCAAGCAGCAGAGCCTGGGGCCTCAGTGTCACACCCCAACCGCAGCGCGACCTCCTTTTTCACCCTCAGCTGGGAAGATTCTTGTTCTCACCCACAGGGAGCAGCTGTGGTGGAGGCTCTGCCCTGCCTTTCACCTCTGCTCCTCAGGCAGACACGCGGCCTCCCGCCCACTCTTGCCCCCTTCTTTGGACTCTTCCAAGCTCCCCGCTCCTCCCAGCATCTGTGGAAAGGAACTGCTGAGGACCCTGGGGAGATTGAGGCCCAGGCCCTACGGTTGATGGGGGAGAGGGAGCCGTTGATGGGGGAGAGGGAGCCGTTCAGTTTTTTTGGTTTTGTTTTTGAGGAAATAAAGCTTTGGGCTTTGTGGATGTGTAGGAGTTCAGCTGCGCCGTGGGAAGGGAAAGAGGGCTTTGCCGCTGAACAGTGGCTTGGATAATATGCAAAGGTGTGAGTGTTTCAGTGCCACATCTTGGGGGTTTGGGTGGGCGGTTTAGGGGTTTGGGTGGGAGTTTGAGTAGCAATGGAGAAGGTATAAGGGTGAAAATGTGGGGAGACGGAGGTACCGGAGGACTTGAGATGATCCTGAGGTCACCTGGCAAAGCTGGAGATTGAACTCGGGCTCCACTCTGCGGCTTTCCCTAGTTTACATATTTTTCATATTCTCTTCGCATAGAGCCTTTGCAATGAGCTTGGTTCCCAGGCCTTTTTTTAGTTTTTATCGTAAAACAGGGTCTCGCTAAGTTGCTCAGTCTGGGATGCACTGGAGATTCTCCTGCCTCGGTCTCCCGCAATGCTAGGATGACATACCTGGGACACCAAGCCCCTTCAGACATCCTTCTCCGTGTCGCCAGGGGAGTCCCAAGCTCTGCAGGTCGGGCTGTGGCGATCCCCGCCCGGGACTACATCTCCCAGGCTGCCCCGGCGGGCGCGCCTGCGCAGTGCGCGCAGTGATGGAGCGCTGACCAGGGGCGCGGCGGTGGCGGCAGCGAGGGCTCCGCGGGCCATTGGCTACCAGCAGCGGTCAGGGCGGCTTGGGGGCTCCAGAGCCAGCGGGGCCCGCGGGCCGGGCTGGGTGATCGGGGCTGCAGCTATGGAAGACCAGAGGGTAGGACGGGGCGCGGGAGGCGCGCAGTGCGGCGGGCGGGGTGCGGACCAGGTGGGCGCGGCGCCCCCTCCCCCAGCTGACCCGGCTCCGCGCGGATCCAGGCTGCCCCGCTTCGGACGGGATCTTCCATCCTCCTGGCCTGGGCCCGGGGGCGTCCTCTCCGTCCCCACCCACCCTCAGGGCCTCGCTCCCCTCCCCGGCGCCTCCATCCCAGGTGTCCCCACCCGCACCGGCGCCGCAGTGCGGACCCCGCCCACCTGCGCCCTCAGAAAAGGGGAGCCAGACCCGGGAAGCCCACCCCGCATCCTCCGCAGACCTCCCCTCCCATCCGCACTTACCTGGCCTCCGGGGCGCGCCCTTTCCCGTTCTCCCTTGCTTTCTCCAGGTGAACCTCTCCCCAGGTGAACCTCCTCTCCTGAGGAGCCCCTGCCCCTCTCACCCCTGCTCCAGGCCAGCGGCCAGCGGCCAGCGGCCAGCGGCCAGCCTTAGCCCAGGCTCCCCGCCTCCCCTAGGCGTTTGCTTTGCACAGATAGCCCCTTGCCCAGGCTAGCCCGTCCCCCCTGGGCGGGTCCCTGCTCGGGCTGGCCCGGTGTCCTCCAGCGCTTGCTCAACCCAAGAGGCAGGCACCGGGTTGCGGGCTGGGCGCTCAGCAGGCAGACCTGGTCCGGCCCTGGCCTTTCCCTGACCCTCTCCCGAGCCTCCGCTTTCTCCCCTGCTGCCCTGGAAAATGGGGCCGATCGCAGCGGCCACCGGGTAGGAGAGGTAGTTGGGCCGGGGTGCCTGTCTGAGGCCTGTTTCCCGGAGGGTCACGTGGTCTTGTGTCTGTGCCTCCATGGAGCAGGAGGCTCTGCGGAAGATCATCACCACCCTGGCTGTGAAGAACGAAGAGATCCAGAGCTTCATCTACTCCCTCAAGCAGATGCTCCTGAACGTGGAGGTGAGGGAGGCAGGGAGGGAGGAGGGGAGCCACCCCCGCCAGGGCCCCAGCCTGTGGCTGCCGCGTACAGGGCCGGGCTGGTTGTGTCCGCGCCTCAGGTTCCCCCTCTGACCACAGGCTCTGGCCGATCCTGGCCGTTCCCATGCAGGCGAACTCGACCAAGGTGCAAGAGGACCTAGAGGAGGAGTTCCAGTCCCTGCTGTCCGTGCTGGAGGAGCTCAAGGAGGGCATGCTCATGAAGATAAAGCAGGACCGAGCCAGCCGCACCTACGAGCTACAGGTGTGTGACTCAGCCTCCCCACCGCCCGCAGGGCCAGCGGAGGCAGGCAACCCCAGCCTCTTCCTCCAAACCCCACTTTCCCAGACTCCGGTCTCTCCCCTGCCCACCCCCTCCCTGCCGTGTGGCCTGTCAATCCCCATCTGCTTCCTCCTCCCCTTAATCCCTTCAGCCCTGACCCCCCTAGATCTGAGAGCTTCACCCCCACTCAGACGCCTCCTATGCTCCAAGCTGGGGTCCCTCGAGCTGCATCTAAACCTCCCAGGAGCTTCCTAACATCCCAGGTTCCATCCCCAGGGAATGTGGACCCAAAAGCTCAGGTGTTTCCATGGGTGTGTGAGGGATTAAGGAAGGGACTTCCCTTGTGATTCTTCTGAAGCCCCAGGAGCCAGGGCCAGTGTGGCTGGTCCCTCAAAGTGCTAACCTCCGTGGCCTAGCTGCAGACGGTGAAGGCAGGTGTTCTCTGGGTCCTGAAGGTGTGTGTAGGGGGGGGCCTGGCAGGGTTTGAGGCAGTGCAGTGAGCTGTTCCCTCCTTCGGTCCCTGTGCCAGCCTGATAAGTCCCTATCACCCCACAGAACCAGCTGTCCGCCTGCACCCGGGCCCTGGAGAGTTCGGAGGAGTTACTGGAGATGGCCAACCACACCCTGCAGGCCACGGACAGCGAGGACTTCCTCCAGGTGGGCGTCTTCGAGGTGGCAAGAAGCGTCACTGGCAAAATACAGAAATGCAAATACTCGGTGACATTTGCATTTCTGCTTAATTGCGAGTATTTTTATTTTTTATTTATTTATTTATTTATTTAGTGGAAGGATAGCCTCCCTGGACAATAGTTAGCAAAAGTGTGTCTCAAACATTGCCAGATATAGTGGTGTATGCCTGTCATCCCAGGACTCTGAGAGGCTGAGGCAGGAGGATTACAAGTTCAAATGCAGCCTGGGCAATTTAGCTTGTCTCAAAATAAAAAATAAAAATAAAAAGGGTTGGGGAATGGAGCTTAGTGCAAAGACCACAGGAGTTGTACTAAAAAATTATTCATTGCTGACCTGAAATTCAGGGGCTTTTTTTTTTTTTTTTTTTTTTTTTTGGTTTTTTTTTTCCGGTACTGGGAATCGAACTCATGGCCTTGCACTTGCCAGGCAAGCGCTGTGCTGTGAGCTAAATCCCCAACCCTGACCTGAAATTCAAATTTATCACTGGATATTTTTGGTATACATATATCTCATGTAGTGCTTAGGATGCCTCAAATATTGCATGGGACACACTTATGCTAAAACAAATCTTTCGTTATTTATCTGAAACATCGGCGAAGCTGGGTAGCCTGTATTTTTGTTTGCAAAATGTGCCAACTGCCTGTCCTGGGCACTGGCAGGAGGCTGGGTCTGGGTCTCCGCTTTCGCATCCCTTCAGGCAATGCCGGAGGAGGAGTTTCTGCCTCAGTGTGTGGAGGGCAGCTCTGTCACAGGGCTGCACCCCCGTTTCTGACTTCACCCTGTCCCTCCCTCTAGGCTGCCAAGCAAATCAAAGATGGGTAAGGTGCTGGGCCTGGCCCCACTCCGGTGCCCTGCCCGCGGTGACGGTGGGGACCTGGGCCCAGAGTGCAGGATGGGAGCACAGGGACCCACCTCAGATGACCTGGCCTACGACCCCCACCCCCCGGGACGATGTCAGCAGGCTGCTTCCACCTCCTTCTCCGCAGTGTGACAATGGCTCCTGCCTTCCGGCTGTCACTGAAAGCGAAGGTCAGCGACAACATGAGTCACCTCATGGTGGACTTTGCGCAAGAGCGTCAGATGCTGCAGGCTCTCACGTTTCTCCCTGGTGAGAGGGGAACCTGCCGGAGGGCCAGGATTGCAGGGAAATGGCCCTGCAGCAGGGAGGCTGAGTCGGGTGACGTCCAAGGTCTAAATCCAAGGAAGGCCCTGTCCCGGGGGTGGAGCCCTGAAACTGCTCTGCCCTGCGTGGGCGGAACCCTGAGTTACTCCTCCCACGGAGGGGTGGGGCCCTGGGGAGTGTCCCGCCCACATGTAGGAGAACCCTGCAGGCCCCTCCTACATGGGGGTGGTCCCTGAGATTGCTCCTCCCCTGTGTGGAGGGGGTCTTATTTCAGTCCCTCCCATGCAGGATGGAGCCAGGAGAACCCCCCTCATCCGGGGAACACACCCAGAGAAAGCCACAAGCCCTTGGGAAATGGCCCTGAGAAAGTCCCCCTGGTGTAGAGCCCCAGAGAAAGCCTTCCCTCAGGCAGGCTTGTGATCCCAGCACTGTGGGAGGATGAGGCAGAAGGAGCACAAGTTCAAGCCCAGTCTGGAGAGTGATTTATGGAGACCCTGTCTCAAAATAAAAAATAGAAAGGGCCGGGGATGTAGTTTACTGTGAAAGCCCTGGGTTCCATCTCAATACTGAAAAGGGAGGGAGGGAGGGAGGAAGGGAGGAAGGAAGGAAGGAAGAAAGACTGACTGACTCAGCCAACTGGTACAGAATCCTGGCAGATGCCTCCCTCTCAGTAGTGGCATCTTGAGATGGTCCCGTCCTTTGATGGTTGAGTCCTGAGAAAGCTCTGCTCAAAACTCCACTGCTTTTTGGACCCTTGAGGAGTCTCCAGCCCCAAGTCCCTGAAGCCCAAAGGGGCTCCCTCCTGGTGCGGAGCCTGGGCCCCGCCCACAGGCTGTCACGTGGCGGGCGGGCTCCAGCAAGCCCCTCCCACCGCACCGGCTCAGTACCCTGACTTCTGTCCTTTCTGTTCTGGGCAGTGCCCAGCACCCCCGTCATCGACCTAGCCGAGTCCCTGGTGGCAGATAACTGTGTGACCCTGGTGTGGCGCATGCCGGATGAGGACAGCAAGATCGACCACTACGTGCTGGAGTACCGGAGGACCAACTTCGAGGGCCCACCGCGCCTCAAGGAGGACCAGCCCTGGATGGTGGTCGAGGGCATCCGGCACACAGAGTACACCTTGACAGGTCAGGAGCTCGCCTGGCTGGGGGTCCCCACACTGTTCACCCCTGAAGCTGCCCTTGCCCCGTTAGCCTTCTGAGTCTTGTTGCCCGTGGGTCTTATTTTAAGACAGCGTCTTGCTAAGTTGCCGAGTTGGCCAGGCTGGGCACCAACTTGAGACTGTCCTGCCTCAGCTTCCCGGAGTGCTGGGATAATAGGTGTGCAGCACCATGCTCAGTTCATCGTCACTGTTTGACAAATGAGGACCCTAAGGTACAGGATGTGAAGCCACCGTCCCTTCCTTTTCAGTCACCCTGCACCTTCACTGGGCCCAGCGCTGTCCTCGTAAGCTTGAGGACAGCAGCCAGAACTCTTGCCTCGTGGAGCTGGCGTCCAGGACACCCCCAGGTGCTGGGAGATTTCCTTGGCCCTTATGAATCAAAAAGCACCGGGCGTGGTGGTGCTTGCCTGCAATCCCAGCACTCGGGAGCTGAGGCGGGAGGGTTGCCTTGAACTCCTGACCAGGCCAGCCTGAACTACATAGTGAGACCTTGTTTCAAAAACCCCCCAAAAATAAAAAAGCACAGGGAATCCGCGCAGCTGCTGAGGGTGGATCTGAAGGGAGGAAAAAGTCGGGGTCCTTAATGAATTTCAGTGCCATCCTGAGCCATGGGAAGCCCTGGGGGCGGGAGAGTCTTACAGACATGATAAGTATCACATTCATGGCCTCACTCTTAGGCTATAATCAGTGCTAGTTATCTGTAATTAGCATACATGGTTAATAATGAGCATGCTAATTGTAGGGGGAAAAAATCACCAGCCCGCCAGCCAGGGAGTCTGAGATCTATTTTCTTCTCTTTTGAGTAGGAACCAAAATAAATACACGCCTCTTCTTATTTATTTTTTTATATAGGATTCCACAATCTCATCTCCAAGACCTCCTGCCTTTTGTTTTGTTTTGTTGTGATTTTTTAATTTGGGGATAATTATAGGTACACAAGCAGTTGTAAACAAAAAGTGCTTTGAGTCTGGGCATGGGGGTGCACACCCGTAATCTCAGCTATTCAGGAGGCTGAGGCAGGAGGATTGCAAGTTTGATGCCAGCCTGGGCAACTCAGTGAGACCCTGTCTCAAAATAAAAAATAAAAAGCTCTAGGGGATGTTGCCTGAAGCGTGCTCCCAGTGGGGCCAGTGATTGCCAGTCTGCAGCCGGAGAAACTGAGGCACAGGATGAATGTAGATCTTTCTTTCTGAAACTGAGCTTTGGGGCTGGTTGTCTTAGCCCGAGGCCATGGGTGTTCCTTGCTGAGCACCCTTCGAACTCTGCAAGGAGGGGAGGCCCAAGGCGCTGGTGCAGCTGTCTGTGGCAGCAGCCAGGGTTGGGCAGGCAGAGGGAACAGGGTGTCCAGAGCCCAGTCGCTGCAGTGCCGGGCCTCCGTGTCGGGAGCTAGTTAAATCTGTAGAGGAGAGAAAATGAACTGACTTTGCTCTGAGGGCGAAGCGAGCCATGGAGGGGGAGCAGGTTCCTGTTTCAGATGCCTGTAGAGAGGGCGTCTGGAGTGCCGGCAGTCAGGAGGCTGCTGCACATCCGGGGCCGGGCAGCACGGTGGGGTGTGCCTGCCGTGGGCAGAAGGGACTCGGGCCTGGGCACCTGGTGTGGAAGGCTAGCAGAAGAGGGAGGAGCCTGAAAAAGACCTAAGTGCGTGGCGGGGTAGCTAGAAACCTGGGAGAGAACCGTGCTGTGGGCCCCAGGCGGGGTGTTCGGGAAGGGAAGCTGTGGTCGGCAAAGGGTCTGATGAGATGGGGCTGAGGGAGCAGAGGGAAGGAAGTAACAGAGGGGTGACATGTGTGCAGTGGTCTAAGGGCATTAGCTGGGGAGCTGGGGTGCGGAGAGGGGTGGACCATGTACTTAGCATGCAGAGGCCTGGGTTCCAACTCCAGGGCCACCAAAAAAAAAAATAT